GACGAAAAAAGTGCCTGGAATCACTTTTCTGGTTATGAGCTGCAAGCTGAGAGAGGTTCTGGGATTTTAGGGAAAGAAAAAGGATTGGAGAAAAGAAAAGAAGAACATCTGGAAACAAGCTAAACAGCTTACAGGAATATTTAGAAGACAAGATGGGGAAACAGACATGGTCTAATGATTCTGTCACTCTCAGATAAGAGTGAAATAAGCAATGATACCCATGTAGATATAAACCTGAAACCATCTCAAATTCAAGAAAAATACTGACGCCCCAACTAGATGAAAGCATGCTATGACTAGACCCCTTAAATCTTGGGGAAACCTCATGAAGTCATCCTTCCTTGATGCTTCTTCTCCTGCCAAATAAAATAAAAATGGAGAACCTAAATAGTACAGAAAAGCTTCAATAATACAAGATATGAATACAGTGTCTCCTCAGTTGCTAGCCATTGCCTACAAGAGAACAGAACAATTAAGTTTCCCAAGGAACAGTCATCAATAAAAAAAAGAGCCTGAAACACAGAATTTTTCTCATTAAATTACCCTAAACATTAACTCCCAATAGTTCTTAGAATAATTTTTAAACAACTTGGACCTTCCATCAATCCACAATCAAAGACTCCCTGAATCCATCAGCTTTAGTCAGGACCACCATGGGCATCTTTAATAGTCTATGCAAGATTTCATTAAAAAGCAGGCTTTGCAAGGCACCTGGGTGGCTCAGTCAGCTAAGCATCGGAATCTTGGATTGGGCTCAGGTCATGATCTCAAGGTCCTGGGATCAAGCCCCGCCCGCATCAGGATCTGCGCTCAGTGTGGAGTCGGCTTAGGATTCTCTCTCTCCCTCTCTCTCTGCCCATCCCCTGCCTCCTGCCCTCTCTCTCTCAAATAATAAAAATCTTTAAAAAATAAAAATAAGTAAAAATAAAAAGTAGGCTTGCCTTTAGCAATCTCAGAAAACAGACTTTAATCTCTCACACCTTAACACACTTTATTTTCCCCAAACACATAAATTGCAGGTCTCTCCCTTATTTAAAAAGCACAAAAGGCACACAAATCAAGGGCTAGCCTAGTTTATCTAACGCATAACCATCCTCCCAAACACATTTTCAAAAGAAGGGGTTGGGGAAGCAGTGGAACGGAAATTACAGGCTGTCATGACATCTCAATATCGAACACTGACTACCTGGTTCCACAGGAGAGTACAGTTTTTATGCACAATCCCGTTACTAAGCAACGGCAACAATGGCTGCCTGAGCTTTCTAGAAGCTAGTGCGGGAAAAGGGGGGCGGGCGAATCTAAGAACAGAAAAATGGAAAAACTTGCTTTGGGAATCGTTATCTCAGGATAAATTCAATGTAAAAACAAAAATAAACAAAATCTTAATCTAAACTTAAAACAAGCAGTTCCTGAAGAGACAAGAAAAGTACATGCTACCATGTATCATTCACTTTAATTTCAGTTTGTTTAATTTCAAAATTCACATTTAACTGGTGATAATGATTTCCTTACTGTGTTTCCTTTGTGGTCCCCCTTCTTTCCTTCACCCTCCCTAGGGAATAATTTTTTTTTTCAAATTTCCTTACTGATTAAAAGAACATTTTAGACCTCTTAAATCCATTTCTTTGTTTACAGAAGCTATAAAAACTAGTTTACAATTGTTTCATGTTGCCTCGGCTTTGAACCGAGAACACTCTTAGACATCAAACTATTCCTTTGAAGGAACAGTCTCTCAAACAGAGCCAGACACTTTCCCAGCCACTCCCTGAAGTTTAGACAACCAGAGCTTTGCAAATGTCAAGTCTTTTACAAAGTTAGACTATACAATGTAGCAGGCTCTAGACCAACGTTTCTCAAATTGCCAGGGGTGGGGGGAGGGCTCCCATACATGTTCCAAGAGAATTTATAGACTAGACTGACAAAGGGCCGAGAAGCAGGTTATAAAGCTAGGGGAGATGACCTCACAGACTTTTCCTTCCATCTCTCCTTGTGCCTTTCAACATTTCCTGCAATGCTGAGAAAGCTCCAGAAGCTACATTCTCTAAATCTCTCTTCTACGGAAGGCTGCTTCTCCCTATGGCTCCCTCCCTCCCTCTCTCAATCTCTCTCTCAGTTCCTGAAGGATGCTACGCTAGCAGGTAGGCAAAATAAAAGGATTACCCTTTAGAATTACTGTTCTACGTCAAAGCTGAGCAATTACCATGTGGCTCTGTTCCCAGGGTGCCTCTAGATTCTGATAAATCTCTCTTTGAAGAAGAGAAATCCAGAGACAAGTAGAAATTTAAATGCTGGAAATTGAAGATCCAAAATGTCTCAGGCAAGAAGCACAGGGAAATGACAAAGTCATTCCTGCTTTTATATCCCAAAGATAAAGATGGGGGGGGGCGGGGTGTATGTTTGTTTGATTTTTATTTCTAGTTTTATACTGCTGTGGTCAGAAAACACGCAAGATAGGATTTCAATCTTTTTTAATTTATTGAGATTTGTTTTGTGGCCTAACATGTCATCTATTCAGGACAATGTTCCACGTGCACTTGAAAAGAAATGTGTATTCCACTATTTTTGGATGGAATGTTCTAGATATATCCTGTTAGGTCCATCTGGTCCAATGTGTCATTCAAAACCACTGTTTCCTTGTTGACTTTCTGTCCGGATGATCTGTCCATTGATGTAAGTGGGGTGTTGCAGTCTTCTATTACTGTTTTCTTCCTCTATGTCTATCAACAGTTGTTTTATGTATTTAGTGCTCCCATGTTGGGGCATAAATATTTAGAATTGTTATATCCTCCTGTTAGATTGTTCCTTTCTCATTATATAGTGTTCTTCTCTATTTCTTGGTACAGTCTTTGTTTTAAAGGCTATTTTGTGCAATATAAATACTGGTGCCCCAGTTTTCTTTCTGCTTCCATCTCATGGTAAAAAGATGGTTTTCTGTGTCAGAAAATTCCCTGAACAGCATTTGAAGGAGAAGGCTGTTTGGGTCTCCTGTTTTTAATTAAATTTAATTTCATTTCTTAAATTTGATTCTTTTTTTTTTTAAGACAGAAACAATGCAAAGCATAGTCCTTGTAATCATTGCAAACCACAAAGCTCTGCTACTTGAAATAAGACAAATGAAAAAATTATTCACACATAATTATTATCTCTACTGGCAACAATAAAGAACACGTAGCACTTATATAACACATTCCGTCATTGAATTGATTCAAAAATTAAACTGGTTAGCTTCAAGGTCTACCCTGTCTCCATCTCCCTGTGGCTTATAAGTTAGTCAAGAACATTCTCAGATAAGAAACTTAAAGATTTCCCCCCAGGAGCTTCCAATCGTTAAAATTCCTATATAGGTTTACTATAAAATACAATGCTTTCTTCTATGACTTGACCATGTTTCCGATGACCCTTGAAAACTAATGGTCATCTATATGTATCAGATTACTCATTGAAGCACTGACTATAATTGCAAAAAAAAGGAAAAAAATGAAAATAATAGGGAATTGGTAAATTATGGCACATTCATACAATGGAATATTATACGACTCGAAAAAATTAGAAAGCACTTTATTTTTGTTAAAGAACAATCTCCAGTCTCCAAGATATATTTTTTCACTAAAGAATGAAAATAAATACTGTGTGCAGTAGGCTATTAGTTTTTTTTTCTTAAGGAAAAATATAAACACATAAATTGTCAGTTATATGTACATACAACATCTTTAAAAAGAAAATAAGACCTGGTAAGAGTTTCGCCTCTGAGGAGAAAAACTGAATTATAGGAGTAAGACAAGACAGACACCTGGCCTCATATACCCTATAGGACTTTTTCCATGTGATTGTGTTGCTTATTCAAAAAATACATTTTTTTTTTTTTTTTTAATTTTTTAGGTGACGGGCAGAGAGAGAAATAGAGAATCTTAAGCTGGGCACGGAGCCTGAAGCAGGGCTCAATCTCACAACACTGAGATCATGACCTGAGCTAAAATCAAGAGTCAGACACTGAACTGACTGAGCCACCTAGGTGCCCCCCAAAAATACACTTTTAAATCTTAAAAAAAATTCTAAGGTCACTAACAAATTATAACATATACAGATGACATGTTGATTCACTATCAGCAAATCTTACGCTTTTCAGTTTACAATAGTAATGACAGACTTATAATGAGGTATGAAGGACATCCCACACAGCATAATTTTCTAACATAACCTTCTGGAATTAAAGGTATAATCTCGGGCACCTGGCTGACTCAGCTGGTAGAACATGCAACTCTTGATCTCGGAGCTGTAAGTTCAAGCCCCATGTTGGGTGTAGAAATTACTTAAAAACAGAATCTTAAAAAAAAAAGGTATAATCTAACCTGCTCTAATTATTCCTTACGTAGACAGAGACATTACCCTGGCTCCTTAGCTGCTGATACTTACTTTTGAATATAAATAGTACAAGTGCACAATGCAAATAGGTTTTATGTTTATGAATTTTAAGGCATTTGAAAAGATTTAGGGGGAAACAAATACCATTACCTGCATCTGAAAAAAGGGCATAAGGAAAAATCTACATGGCCTGCTTAAGATCAATCAGTAAGTTAGGGACGCCTGGGTGGCTCAGTGGGTTAGGCGTCTGCCTTCCACTCAGATCATGAACCCAGGGTCCTGGGATTGAGCCCCACATCAGGCTCTCTGCTCAGCGGGGAGCCTGCTTCTCCTTCTCCCTCTGCCTGCCACTTTGCCTTCTTGTGCTTTCTGTGTCAAATAAATAAATAAAATCTTAAAAAAAAAAAAAAAAAAAGGGTGCCTCAGAAAGCCCTGAAGTCTTACGTACAGCAAATGACCACAAATTCCAAGACTATAGAGTCCAAATCAGCACATATGAAATACCAACTTCATGACATCTTAAGGGAAAGAAAAACAACTGACAAGTAGAGTGAACGTTGACCTTTAATGGCAAATTAGTGACTTTTTTTTTTTTCCTAAAAATGTGTTTTACTGATCAAACATGAAAGAAAGAATACCTGGTTGATGGAATCAGGTTGAGTATCCCATTGAGCACATAGCTGAACTCTGCGTGATCCTGAGCAACAAGGGCCACTAGACCCTCACAGCAGGCTGTTCGAACCACCACATTATCACTGCAACACTTCTCCCACAGCAAGTTTAAAGCCGGAGTCTGAAATCAAACCAGTGATTAAAAGACACGTCTGGGGATGCCTGGGTGGCTCAGTCAGTTAAGCATCTGCCTTCCTAAGGTCATGATCCCAGTCTCCTGGGATCGAGTCCCACATCTGGCTCCTTGCTCAGCAGGGAGCCTGCTTCTCCCTCTGCCTGCCCCTCCCCCTGCTTGTGCTCGCTCTCTCTTTCTCTCTGACAAATAAATAAAATCTTAAAAATAAATAAATAAATAAAAGACACATCCGATGAGCAGCAAAGGCATGTACACCCCCAGCCATTCTTCAATCGTAATTTGTTCACAGTGGGCTAGCTTTCCGATACAAAGATGACACTGTTGTCCCACCATTTGTAGAATAAACTAAAGTCAGTTTTCCGGGACAGATAATGGATGTGTTCTGATAAAAGCCACTCTTGCCCATCTGGTGTCCTGGCTGCAGAATAAGGCTGGCTGCAGACAGGAGTATGACTTATGTTTGAGCAAACCAAGGAAACTGACAGGGGATCAAAACTAAGACTCGGCTCTCGGACAGCGCTCCAACCAAGCCCTTTAACCAGACACCATCAATATCCGCACAGCAGTTACTCTAGGATGAACTCCAAATCATTCCTGTGGTTTAAGCCCTAAATGCAATAACATTTTCAGAACGTGTTTCTGCTCTCCTACCAGCAATCTCTACCACCTACATGCACTCCACCACCCCCCACACTGCCCCTGCCCCAATTTACTGAAGTCTAATGTGGGCCCAGAGGAAAGACAGTTAAGAGGGGGGAACAGCAAACTGGTATTTCCATGGCTTCCAACAAAAGCCTAGAAAACTGTTGTGGTCAAGAAAGAAACCGACTCGGGATGGCTGGGTGGCTCAGCTGGTTAAGCATCTGCCTTCAAATCAGGTCATGATCTCGGGGTCCTGGGATCGAGCCCCACATCCGGCTCCCTGCTCAGTGGGGAGCCTGCTTCTCCCTCTGCCCCTCCCCCTGCTCATGCTCCCTCCCTCTCTCTCTCAAGTAAATAAATAAAATCTTTAAAAAAAGAAAGAAAGAAACTGACTTTTTGCCCCCTCCAACCATTAATCTGTCATCTTTGATAGAAAAGCACCAGAAGGGCACATAAGTAAATGTAAGATCTTTATTTTGAAAAATCCTATAAATGCAGAGCTTCGAGCTTTCATAACTTCCTCAAGCATCCATGACCCACCCCACCAGAGGTTCATGACTAATGATAAACCCATATTTGAATGTACTGTGGGTTAAGTCCATTTAGATTTACATGCGGTTTGGGTTTTGTTTTGTTTTATTAAAGAACACATCATGAAGCTATTTTTCCCTCTTCCTGACATAAGTTATTAGAAAAATATATAATTTGAGAAAAAAAGATCCTCAGCTCCCACAGAATAACTAAAAGAGGGGCGCCTGGGTGGCTCAGTTAAGCGTCTGCCTTCAGCTCAGGTCATGATCCCAGGGTCCTGGGATCGAGCCCCGCATGGGGCTCCCTGCTCTGCGGAAAGTCTGCTGCTCCCTCTCCCACTCCCCCTGCTTGTGTTCCCTCTCTCACTGTGTCTCTCTCTGTCAAATAAATAAATAAAATCTAAAAAAAAAAAAAAAGAATAACTAAAAGAATGAAAATCAACATATTGTGCCCACTTTCCCACTGTAGCTGGCTTTGAGAGCCTTTTCAATCTAAGGATCCCACTATAACAGAACAATACAGTTAACAGTCACTGCAGGAAAGAAATCTTTATATACCAGTTCTTTTATTCAGAAGGAAATTTTATTCACCTGTATGGCCAATATCAAAGGGTTCCAAATGTCAGTAGCCCATTTTAACCAGAAAAACGAAATAAATGAATAAAAAAAACTCCTGCCTCAGGTATTACTGTGCCCTTGTGGAAGTAAGCATTCATTTATTAATAGAAGAGAAAACAGTCACAGGGATTTGACAATTCAATAAATCCCGGCTGTTTAAGTAAAACCACTAGATCACCTCACAGTACATAATGTGATTATAGGCAGGATTAAGATCAGCGCTCTCAGAAAACCTAATTTATACAACTACATACAAATACCAGATAAATGCCAATTAGTGAAATTTGCCTCTATACTAATTTCAATATGGCAGCAGACGCTGGAGAGAGATTTAACTTGGAGTAGCTAATCAAAAGCAATGTGGTAAAAAAAAAAAAAAAAAAAGCAACGTAAGAGAAAGAAAATCAATTATTTCTTCTGTGAAAAAAAAAAAACCTCATTTCCATCATCTACATTCTCCAAAGAGTTTACCTGAGAGGACCACACAGTTTCCAACCAGCAAGTCAAAATCTACAATACCGGTTGACCAAAACCCAAGTGGTCTACATCTCAGGAAGCTGAGCACAGTTTCAATCTTAGCATTCACCTGCCCTATGCATGGATGTATGGACATTTTCCTTCAGCTCCAAGTACCAAAGCATGACCTTACGAACATAGAACTCATACTTGGGGCACCCTAAAGTAGGAAAAATCTCCTACATCCAAACAGAGCCGCTATGTTCACTTTCTCCATTAAACAGAAAGATTCCCTCAGAGGTAATCCTACCAACCTTCTCTAAGGTATGTCTATCCTCATTCCACCCATGCTATTTTTCACTAAGAGTCACAAGAATACTCCCCTTTACCATCCCTTCCATATCTCATTCCCGGAGTCTGTTGTAACCAATTTTAAAATTGTAAAGAATTTGGAAGAAGGGGGACGCCTGGGTGGCTCAGTCGGTTAAGCATCTGCCTTCAGCTCAGGTCATGATCCCAGGGTTCTGGGATCGAATCCCACATGAGGCTCCTTGCTCAGAGGGGAGCCTGCTTCTCCCTCTGCCTATTTCTCCCTGTGCTGCTCCCCCTGCTTGTGCTCATGCTCTCTCTCTCCCTCTCTCTGACAAATAAATACAATCTTTAAAAAAAAAAAAATAATAATAATAATAATAGTAATAATTGGGACGCCTGGGTGGCTCAGTTGGTTAAGCGACTGCCTTCGGCTCAGGTCATGATCCTGGAGTCCCGGGATCGAGTCCTGCATCGGGCTCCCTGCTCGGCAGGGAGTCTGCTTCTCCCTCTGACCCTCCCCCCTCTCATGCTCTCTGTCTCTCATTCTCTCTCTCTCAAATAAATAAATAAAAAATCTTTAAAAAAATAATAATAATAGTAATAATTTTGAAGGAGAACTTGGCAAACCAAAAAACAAACAAACAAAACCAGTTCAAAATCATTTCTACAGTGACCTGAAACAGAAGGAGTGCCTACATGCAGCTGGGAACATCTGAATAGAACTCAAGTGCAAAGTTGAATACAGACCTGGTTTGTGGATTGATGGATCTTTTCTGAAAAACCATTTTCCTTCAGGACTGCAGCAATAAGATGACCCACCGCCTTAAAAAAAAAAAAAAAAATCAATAAATACATGGCATCAGAAGTTCTCTCCAATTAGTGCATTTGAAGGTAACTCCTGTCAATACTAGTTGATATAAAAAAAAAAAAAAAAAACAAGGTGATAGGAGTATGAGTGTGCCAGCCAGTCAAGTCATAATAAAATTCCCACTCATCTGAGAGTGTGCTCTGTGGAAGGCACTGAATTAGGCATTCTACGTACATAATTTCTTAGCTTCCTAACAACTCTCAAGGTAAGCATTTTTATTCCAATAAGCAATCTACAGTTCATAGATATTAAGAAAATTGCCAGATTTTCAGTTCAAATTGCTGTCACTTAGTATTAGAAGATAATGTGAGATTGCTTCATCAATTAAACCGTGAGACAAATGAGAAACTCCACAGCTTTTAAAATCATTTTTGCATCTAATTGCAATCCATCATGCTTCATCATGTCCTTAATGAAGATGGAGACAACTCATCCCCATCTTTATGACCACGGCCCATACAGAACTGAACCAATAGGTCTCCCCCTACCACAACCATTCTCTCTCGTTTAGGCTCTATGATTTAATTTCTTTATTATTTTCTCATAGGTTTTAGCCCTTGCATAAGCTTTTAGTCTCATAAATCTCTGAAACGTTCCCATATCCTGCTTTGGTCAAAAGGCCCAAAGTTAAATCTAAGACTCTATTTATAAAGGAGTGTTGATAACATAAATACATATATATCGTTCTTTCCTACCACCTCAACTCCATTCTCCTGGTTCTGCACCACTCCCCAGCACTGCTCTGCTGTTTTAGAGCTGTAGGCTAGCAACAATGATAGCCATCCTACGCAGGGGCTGGGAAAAACTCTCTAACTGCAGCAAGTGTTGATCCTGCACTTGGACCAACGTATGATACAACTGTGAATCCTGTCAGTCTTGTAGTCTCCAGAAAAGGTCACACAAAAACACAGCACCTCCTCCTTTGTTTTTGTATTTTACACACTGGAAATGATTTAAGACCTCAATGCTTGATGATCTCAGTTTTATAATATAAATCACGCATTGACATGAATATTAAGTTTTGATCAATTAACTGTCTCTTACCTCCTAGTTTAAGGGACAGTAACAAGAATTAAGACCAGTGAACAGTTTTGGTGCCTGTTTACAAAATATACCATATTTCATTGAATGCAACTGGCCATCAACTGCAAGATGCACCATTATTTTATTTCTACCTCTAAGGAAGAAAGGCTGCCCATTTATCTGTTACATAATGCGCCTTATAATTTCAAATTTTGATTTTATATTAGTGAAAGAGTTCCTTTAGAAAATCCCAGCCAAGTTCACATGCAGGCAATACCAGCTGTGTAAAAACTACTGCCACGAGTTACTAGATGTGACCCAATTTCAAAGATGCTAAAATGTGAAAAAGTGTGTGTGAATCAATGAAATATGGTGCTAACACTGAGCAATGGTTACAAAAGAACAATAAGAAGTATTCACAGAGAACAAGGGACAGTTGCAAGAACCAAATAAAACCAGTATGACACATAACAGGGACAAAAAAAAAAAAAAGAAAAAAAAGAAACAACAACTCCCGTTCATATTTAGAAAAAAAAGACTAAAAGAAGATCAGCTTACTGACAAACATCCCCCCACCAGGTCCAACTTCTCCAGTTTGCCTTTCTATGTATCCTTCTAACAAATCACAGAATAGAGGCTAAATTGATTTTAAAGTACAAAATCCAAGGATAAATGACCCTATATTGCTACTTAAGTTTTCCACAATAGAATAGTCGAAAGACACATTCTCCATGAAACAATACATGTACACTTCTCATTTAATTTAACAGTAAAACACATAGGCATTTCTCAGTTATCTACGCTAATGAAGGGACTCCAAGCACAGAAAAATAGAAACTGTGGACGGTATCCTCCAAGCCTTCATCTTCCTCTTCGTGGTAAGGACCTGTGCTGCACAGGATAGGACTCCAACCCAGTCAGGTAGAAGGGAATCTTGCATAAGGAGTGTTCTACTCCTCATGGAAGGGTTCCCCACTACCCAGCTAAGTCAATTCCCACAGCAGGCATCTCCGGAGAAAACTGCTGAAAGCATCCAAGACGCTGTACGTCGTTCGGTCTTCAGGCCGGCTTCTGCTGGTCCCCTGGCTTCACTCTCACAAGAAAAGACAGTAAGCTATTACGGTACCTTGACTAACTAGAATGCTTCCAGTTAGGGGAAGGCTAACCAGAAAACCACCTTTGTTTGAACCCTAATAATTGAACAGCTCTCTAAAATAAATTATCACCAACCCCTGCCTGTGTTAGGATAGACATCAAATTTTTTAATCCAGGACATTTTACTTACTGAATGTTAGGTATTATGGTCAAAATCTCTTATTCTTAATAACTGTACAGGGGTAAAATATATCCTTTTAAATGTCAATCTCTCATACTCCGTAGATGTACAGCCATTTACTTCTATTCCCAAAAATTCATTATAGACTTAAAAAAAAAAAAAATACAGATCCAGGGTCCTCCTAGTTAATCAAGGTTTTATTACGTCTAAGAAGAAAAGTATGATATAAATAGAAACTGAGATTGGGGGGCGCCTGGGTGGCTCAGTTGGTTAAGCATCTGCCTTCGGCTCAGGTCATAATCTCAGGGTCCTTGACTGAGCCCCACATCGGGCACTCTGCTCAGCAGGGGTCTGCTTCTCTCTCTATGCTCTCCCTCTCCCTCGCTCTCTTTCTCTCGCTCTTAAATAAATAAAATCTTAAAAAAAAAAAAAAAAAAGCTGAGATTGGTCAATTTCAAATATTCACCTTCCTATGTCACATATAAATTTTCAGGGTTTTTTAATTTAATTTTTTAAAAATAATCTCTACAAGATATGAGGGCACTTGGGTGGCTCAGTCGGTTAAGCACCCGACTCTTGGTTCCCGCTCAGGTCATGATCTCACGGTTATGGGACCAAGTCCCATGTCGGGCTCTGTGCTCAGTGTAGAGTCTGCTTCAGATTCTCTGTCCCTCTCCCTCTCCCTCTCCCTCGCTCTCTCTCAAATAAATAAAATCTTTAAAAAATAATAAAATAAAAATAAAGTAATATCTACACCCAGCGTGGGGCAGGAACTCACAACCCTAAGATCAAGATTAGCATGCTCCACTGACAGAGCCAGCCACGGGCCCCTCAAATATAAATTTTCAAATTAACTTATATAAAAGTTAATAAAGCAATATATATGTAGAAGCCTATATACAGAATAAAACATTTAATGTTGAAAATGTAAAGTTCTACTAACAATCCACCAAAGCGGTTCATTTGTTACCATGAAGCAAAAATAATTAAATAAAAATTACCTGTGATTGGATAAGAGAATTTGGAAATTCAAACCTTTTCCTGATATCATCTGACATTTTTGCTTCTCTTACATGTATATATGCAGACTCTGTAATCAAAACAAAAGAGTATTTGTTAGTCCGAAAAAGGATTTCAAACCAATTATTCCTCAAACAACATAAAAGTAATTCATTCCAAAGACAACAATGGAAATAAAGCATAGGGCTCTGCAGCGTAATTGCTGGAATATGCTCACCAACCACTTCGGCCCACAAATGCCATGATTGATAAATAAACTAAAATGCTCAACCACTCTTGGTTTTTCCCATTAGAGCAAATCCTGGAACAGATTAATTCACACTATCGAAACCCAAAAAAATCCAAAAGCTCAAGCCGAAATAACAGGATTTTAAAAGTTCAACCACATGTTTGAAGTAGAAATTCTTTCAAAGATCAAAACTTCTAAGAGAGAAAGAATCAAATTTTCACAAAATTGTTTAAACTCTACCACAGTTTGAATACAAGCTTTCATTTAATCACTCATCTAACTGCTGGTGACCAGTGTAAAGCCTAGGTGAGCTTTTTTCAGGGGGTACAGAAATGACCTAGAAACTCACACACTGAAACAGATTGCTTGTCTGCTAAAAGAGCAAGCAATTAACACCAACTTTTTTTTTTTTTTTTAAGATTTTATTTATTTGACAGAGAGAGAGATAGAGAGAGCAGGAACACAAGCAGGGGGAGTGGGAGAGGGAGAAGCAGGCTTCCCGCTGAGCAGGGAGCCCGATGCAGGGCTCGATCCCAGGACCCTGGGATCATGACCTGAGCCGAAGGCAGACGACTGAGCCACCCAGGCACCCCAATTAACACCGACTTTTAATATTTACATCACACCTCTCATTCCTACTGGGCTCTCACAAAAAAAAAAAAAAAAAAAAAAAAAAACGGAAAGGAGAGGAGGAGGAGAGGAAGGGAGGGGGAGGGGAGGAGACTGGAGGAGACTGGAGGAGAGGGGAGGAGAGGAGAGGAGAGGAGAGGAGAGGAGAGGAGAGGAAGGAAGGAAGAAAAGTGCTCGCTTAGGCAGCACATATACTAAAATGGAAAGGAAAGGAAAAGGAAAAGGAAAGGAAAAAAATTTTTTCAAGCATGCAAAAAGGATGGAGGAGGGCAAAGTGGTCAAGAGAAGGCTCTGAAATACTGAGAGGATTTCCTAAGGATCTCAATTTATCCAGCCCATGCAGCACTGAACCCACCAAATTACACTACTTAGAAAAATAAGATGCTTTAGGGGCGCCTGGGTGGTTCAGTGGGTTAAGCATCCCACTCCTGATCTCCTGATCTCTTGATCTCGGGGTCGTGAGTTCAAGCCCCGTGTTGGGCTTCATGCTGGGCATGGAGCCTACTTAAAAATATATACATACATATTTAAAAAAAAAAATTCCAGGGGCGCCTGGGTGGCTCAGTCATTGAGCGTCCACCTTCAGCTCAGGTCATGATCCCAGGGTCCTGGGATCGAGCCCCACATCAGGCTCCCTGCTCAGCGGGAAGCCTGCTTCTCCCTCTCCCACACCCCCTGCTTGTGTTCCCTGTCTCGCTGTCTCTCTGTCAAATAAATAAATAAAATCTTAAAAAAAAAAAATCCAGGTAATCCAGGTTACCTTATAAAAATAACAAGCAGCAAAACCAAGTTCTCCTGCTCTCACAAATGGAGGTGCCCTGTGCTGAATGCATGGCTCTCGTACTTTCCTCCCCTTCCTCCAACTAAAGTCTCTGAATGGATCATTTATCCCAACCTTCTTCAACATCTAGAGCCAACTTTAGTCCCCTGAATTTGACATTTTGCAGCACTGAAACAGCTTGTTCCAAGATTGCAAATTATGTCTCCTATCAAAATCTACTCATTAGTTTACGCAAGTCAAAACTTCTTCAACTCTCCAGATGTGTCCATACCCTCTTTCTTGGAATTTTCTGCTCCTTGGAATTCTGTAAGCTATCATAACACCATTTCCCAAAATGTGTCCTTCGGAAACCTAGGATGAAGAGATGTCCACGAGGGTAAAAGGTTTTGGAGGGAATATATATTGGCACCTTGAATTTTCATTCACTCATTCACTCAAATACTTATTAGCTGCCTATTGGGTGTCTAAGGCACTGCTCTGGGTGCTTAGGCAACCTCAGGGAACAAAAAAGACAAAAATCCCTACACTCATGGAGCTTAAAGTATTACAGAAACACATTCTATTTTAAATATGGCAACCAGGGTCAGTCTCTTCTAAAGAGGATGACATCTGGTGAGTTAGCCATATAGATATCTGGGCAAAGATGTCACAGGTACAGTAAACAGTTAGTGCAAAAGCCCAAAGCTCATCAAGTGCTTAAAGCCAGGGCTAGAAGAGAGCAAAGAAAGAAGCCAAGAGTGAATGAAAGGGGTGCCTGGGTGGCTCAGTCGTTAAACGTCTGCCTTTGGCTCAGGTGGTGATCCCAGGGTCCTGGGATGGAGCCCCATGTGGGGCTCCCTGCTCTGCAGGAAGCCTGCTTCTCTCTCACCTGCTGCCCCTCCCCCTCTACTCATGTTCTCTCTCTCTCTCTCAAATAAGTAAAATCTTTAAAAAAAAAAAAAAAAGTGAATGAAGGAGGAAGAGAATGGGAAATCAGAAAGTCAGTAAGAAATCAGATCACAGGGACGCCTGGGTGGCTCAGTCTGTTAAGTGCCTTCAGCTCAGGTCATGATCCCAGGGTCCCGGGATTGAGCCCCGCATGGGGCTCCCTGCTCAGCAGGGAGCCTGCATCTCCCTCTCCCTCTGCCTGTCGCTCTGCCTACTTGTGCTCTCTCTCTCTCTCTCTCTGGCATATAAATAAATAAAATCTTAAAAAAAAAAGAAGTCAGATCATAAAAGGCCATGCAGGTCACCAGAAGGACTGATGGATCTATCCCCAGTGAAATGGTAAGCTACTACTGAAAAAGAGTGGTAAGATTTTAATAGGATCACTTGAGATGAGGAGTGCTCTGATTCTAGATATATTTGAAGGTAGAGCCAATGTGGTTCCTGATGATTGGTTGAGAGTATAGAAGAAAGAGTGAGAGATGACTCCAAAGTTTTTGATCTGAGCACCTCTAATTTTAATCTCAATTCCTTTGGGCATTTTATACATTAAACAGAATGATTCATACATCATTTACCACGGCATTTTTTACTAAGAGAAAAAGATGAGGTTGCCATCAACTGAGATAGGGAAACCAGTTTTGTGGGGAAAGACTGGGAATTTCATTTGGAACTGGTAAGTTTCAGATGTCTAATAGATATCCAAATGGAGATGTCAGGTTGAAATGATTCATGAACACATGAATCTATAACTGAAGAGACAGATCTTAGTTGAAGATATAAATGATGATGCACATTAATTATAGAATCTGAGAGGTATTAAAACAAGACGTCTCACTGACTTTGCTTAACCCAGAGTTTACCAAATTTATCTGATCATGGCACCCTTTTTTTCTACAAATATCTGTTAACAGTCTAGACAACCAGCCTTTCCTGGGAAACACACTGGGAAACTCCTCTACTGACTCCAGTTCCTCTGTCCGTTCCATTTCCTGTACCCCATCTTCCTTCCCGCTGCCGAGTTCCTTGCCTGTGCTCTCTTCCTTCATGGAAACTCTCCCAGAGCCCATCCATGTCTCCAAACACTTCCCTACTCTCTCTTATAAAGCAGCAATGGGAGATGTCAAAAAGAAAGCACATACTGGGGCACGTGGCTGGCTCCGTTGGAAGAGCACGCGACTCCTGATCTCAGAGTTCAAGCCCCATGTTAGATGCAGAGAGTGCTTAAAAAAAAAAAACCCTTCATGAAAAATGCTCACCATCACTCATCATCAGGGAAATCCAAATCAAAACCACAATGAGATACCACCTCACACCAGTCAGAATGGCTAAAATTAACAAGTCAGGAAACGACAGATGTTGGCGAGGATGCGGAGAAAGGGGAACCCTCCTACACTGTTGATAGGAATGCAAGCTGGTGCAGCCACTCAGGAAAACAGTATGGAGGTTCCTCAAGAAGTTAAAAATATAGACCCAGCAATTGCACTACTAGGTATTCACCCAAAGGATACAAACACTGTGATCTGAAGGGGCACTTGCACCCCAATGTTCATAGCAGCAATGTCCACAATAGGCAAACTACAGAAAGAGCCCAGATGCCCATCAACAGATGAATGGATAAAGATGTGGTGTACATGTACAATGGAATATTAGCCATCAAAAAGAATGAAATCTTACCACTTAAATCAATGTGGAGAGAACTAGAGGGTATTATGCTAAGTGAAAAAGTTAATCAGAGAAAGACAATTATCATATGGTTTCATTCATATGTGGAATTTAAGAAACAAAACAGAGGATCATAGGGGAAGGGAGGGAAAAATAAGACAAAATCAGAGAGGGAGACAAAGACACTTAATTATAGGGAACAAACTGAGGGTTTCTGGAGGGGGATTGATGGGGTAAGTGGGTGATGGGCATTAAGGAGGGCACGTGATGTAATGAGCACTGGGTATTATTTGAGACTGATGAATCACTGACCCCAACCTTTGAAAGTAATGATACACTACATGTTAACTAATTGAATTTAAATAAGTAAAGACAAAAACTTTAAAGTGAAAGAAACAAAGAAAGAGAGAAAGGGAGGGAGGGAGAGTGGGAAAGAGAGAAAGAACCTATTTTCTCTCACAAACATGTTTACCATTTTGGTTCCACTTTTCCCAGTTCTCTCAAGAGTTCCTTGCTACCATCCTCTGCATCCACTCAATCACAAAGTCACTTTTATCCTTCCCAGCACCTCAGGGCCTACCTCTCAGCCCCATTTTACCCTCCTTTTATCAGTTCCTCCTGCTTGGCTTACTTCAGTAACTGCTTAGTCCTGGGGATCTCCACGCATGAGCACATCCCATACACTGCTGTCAGATGAATTGTCCTAAAACGCGATTTCCATCACATCACTTCCCTGCGAAGAATTCAGAGCAGGGTTTCACAAGACTGTCAGATTAAATGCAAATTCTGATTCCTCGCTTTTAAGCCCTCCATCAGGCATCTCCCAGTCAGTTTCATTGTC